GATAAAACAAAAATACATAAATGTAAAAACCAAAAAACCACAAAAGGGCACAAAAAGTGCTAGGGTTGTCCCGCTTTAGTCATCCTGCTTCTAGTTCTCGGAAGTGAGCCGACTAACAAATTAGTAAGGTGAGTACTATTGCCCGTAGTAACCAAAGCATAATCCATCAGATTCCTGAGCTTAAGTAGATCTTCATTCTTTTTTTTTTCTCCTGGATGTGTAGACCTGTCATTCCTCATTCGATGATTGACTTACTGATCAATAGATTCCATAGGTGGTCAGACATGTGTAGGTCGTTGCACGTTTTGATCCCCATAAACTTGAGTAATATTAACATCTTTCTAGACCTGATGAGGTGACAGTGAAACAGTAGAAGTATTTCCACCTGAATTATCAGTGATAGGTTCTAGGGCAGGCGGGGTCTGAAGAAACTCGCTCTTCCCCACGATAGGAGGTTCCAAAGACGAGGGAGCTATAACTGGGGACTAAATAGTTGTCATATTGCCTGCATGATAGTGACGTCATCTGGGATATCCTTCTGATGATCAATAGTGTCAAAAACTGGGAGCTGATGAGGAGGAGGTGAAATCACAAACTCTAGCGGAGCAGTTTGCTTTTTTGGTCTGAGTTGGGGGTGCAGATGGTGACATTGAGAACTGGAGTGTCCGAACATACGACAGTTCGAACAATAGGACGAAAAAAGTTTAATCTCTACATCTGCCAATATCCATGGTGTTGTGTGCCCATATTTTCTCAGAAGCGGGTGAAGTGATGTCTCTTTCAACAAGTACTCTGACTTCAGAAGGACGAGACGGATTAAAAGTATGAATGTTCGTCTTGAGTGACTTCCCATAAATTGAGACAATAGAGTATAATACTTTTTGAGAAAAATAATGAAATTTCAGACCAGAGAGACGAATCCAAATCGAAATGATTGGTGATTCTGTCTGTGGGTCAAAATCCACAGACCATTTCAGAATCTTCATTACTTTGTTATCAATCCATATTATCCTTTTAACAAATAAACGCATGTAATCTTTTTCTTTACTAATTTGAATAAGAATGTGTCTCTCATCTAATAGTCCAATTTTTCATTCTCCAACAAGGTGCATAAGTTCAAATTCTTTGCGAATGAGCTCCATTTTGGGATGACCATATAGAAATTTCCCAACCAAATTCAGACGACAGGAGGAAACAAGTTGAATACCTTCAGCTTCAGTAAAAAAAATGACAGACTTCCTATTCTTCATACCAGGTTTGTTGATGTCCTCCGCCCACTCAAACGACAGAGTGAAAGATGACGGTTTTGGTGTGCTTGAGGCGTGGACACCGGTGAGGGCAACTGCATACGATTTGTTCTAAGCCATCCTCAAAGAAAGGTGTGACTTTCAGAGTTTAGAGAAGAAAGCAGGCGAGTGAAAACCGACGTCGAAATAGAAGCTGTGAGGCGGGACGAGCACAGAGGATGCAAAAATCTCGAGCGGTACCCGCGAGACAGAGTCGCAGAACACGCGATCGGACGGGCCGCAGAACCTGGAAATCCCGAGCCAGGAAAGCTCGCTAGACCGGAAGACGGAATATGAGCCTCGTCTCAGAGCGAGGGAGCATCGGGGGAGACGAACGGAAATGAGCGCGACGCGAGAGGAAACAACTGTAACTGTTTCTAGGGTTCGCCATCAGGCAAAACCCTAGCAGAGCCGAGCGAGGAAGACGATGTCATCGAGAAGTAGATATATCCCACCATCTCAGATAATTGTGATGTTTAGATTGCTAATCACTGTGCTGACAAAAGAATATCAGTGAGGGGCGGGCCACTTTTCCACTTTAAACAATCGTGTAAATTAGATCAACAATCGTTGTACCGACATAATAATATCAGTCATGAATGTGTTAGGTTGTGTTTTGAGATGCTCCTAAAACAAATATGAATTGCTAATAACATGAAATAAAAGTATAGTTCAATATTAAATTTTAAAAGAATACAATTAAAATCAATGCATATTGAAGTTTAAGTTATTTCTATTGATAAATGTCATGGGCACGTACATTAGATTATTATAAGATATTCTATAGTGAACTATAAAAGACCAGCATGCATATTGTTTTCTATTCCTTGGATTACTATAGTTTAAAAGCATGTTTAGTTCTAGTTTATCCTATATAGTGCATTATGTTGTTCTAGTATTTTTTTGAGGTTCAAGCTTTTAGTTACAATGAATATTGGAGGAGCTAATGTGTCCAATATGCGAGAACAACCGAAAATGTAATTTTTATTTGTTACTTAAAATATTCTATTTAGTGCCTCTTTTAATCAATTTTTGAATATTAGCTGTTAGTGTAGAATAAGAAATGTAAAAAAACCTAATTCCACCGTCCGAATGTTTGTTCCCTCCTAGTTAATTCAAAGCTCCAGATTGTGTCGTGAGAGAAGCAAAGGGTAAATTGGCATATGGCTGACTCGATGACATTAGATTGAAAGGTTGGTTGGGTCATTTGAGCTAATTTGGTCAAACTGACTTGAGGGTTATTTGGTTCACCACAATTTTGGTATAAAGTAAAATAAATATAGGGGTTTTATAAAATTTTGACAGTTTATTGAATGAAAAAAGATTGCAGCGAAAAATTTTGGTGTATTTGAAATTCATAATAAATTCAAAATTGATGTATTCCAAATTTGTTAGATTTAGCCAATTTTCAAAGACATTATAAAATACAACATGTCGCCAAAATAGTCGCTAGTTGTTAGTGGTTGTTGTCTGCTAGTTGACACCTATTATTGGTTGCTACGACTGTTGTCGACCACCTTTGTTGATCAACGTTACTGTTGCTAGTACTGTTGCCCGTCACTGCTCGCCCCAATTGCCACCATTATTGCCAGCTGCTTGTCACACCTGATTAACAACACTGTCATAGTTGAGCACATCGTACATTGATTTTTTTCTTCAAACCAAACACAAAAATGTAAACTTCTACATTTACTTTATACCAAGCTAGGCAATTTTAATAGTATTTGAAATGTACTATATTTCAATTACATTGAATTCCTTTTACACTACATTCCTTTTTCAACAACCCAAATGACCTTTTAATTAAACCAAAATAGCCAATTATGAATTCACCTCAATTTGATTCCATTAGGGTTTGGCCCACTCCTTCAAGCAGTTTGGTTTGATCACTTTGATCAAATTGTGGTTTTGTTCTTAATTTGGCTAATTGGGTTTTTTAAGGGACCAATTGGATTAAGTTGGTTCAAGTGGATTTCACTGTCCTAAAATGGAGCAATTGGGCCAATTACATTTGTTCACTTCAAATGAAAAGCTTAGTAAAGGGTCAATTTGATCAGTTTTAGCCTAAATGGTTAACGGAATTGCTTAGCCGAAGTTGGTGCAATCAAGAGTCATTTTTAATCTTGTCAACCATGGTTAGTGATTTGAAATGGGTTTCAAAGGTTGGCTCGGTTCAGTTAGTTCAAATTGATCGAAATGTTCTAAGAGGTTCAAATGCATCAATACGAACCAAAAGGCCAAATCGAGGACCAATTGGGCCTAGTTCATCAATGGTTGACCTATTGAAATTGATTTAAGGCCTTGGTTCAATTAATTTGCCCAATTCGAGGGTCTAGGTTCCATAACATCAAATAATTTCATTTAAGCGTAATTGAGTTGCAGGGTCTGTTTGGGCTGATCAAAAGATCTATATGGCTCAATTATGCTTTTTTTAACTATTAAGGCTTATTTGGAGCATTGGACAAGCTTAATTTTATCAATTCTACGGGTTGGGTCTTAGCTTGATTCATTAATCAATTCGATCTTGTTCATCTATTATTTTATAATAAGAATCCTATGAAAGAGGTTTGGCCTATACATAGGATCAGTTGGTTCAAAATCACCAATTGGGTCTTGATATTTAGGGGATTTGGTTTCTAAGTTTACCATCTGTCAGTATGAGGTTCATAATTCAAATCCAGGGATCCAATGTTCAGCTACAATTAACATTTTTGCAGCTAAACTTCTGAGAAGGATAATTGGATGTTTAGGCCACTAACTGTCAATTGGGTCCAGTTGGGGTTAAGCCAAGGTTAGGTCTAAAGCTAGGGTCAATATTGATTAAACCTATTCAAGAGGGAGGATTTGAAATCATAATTTAACTAATCTTGTGTCTCCTCTTGCGGTCTTTGTTAAATCTACACGAGTCTTGTGGTCATTCTAGGGTTTTGGTTTTTAAAGCTCAGGCTATGGGTTATAGGTATGATATCTAGCTAAGTTAGGGGTTAACTTTGGAATGAATTAAGGATCAGAATTAAATTCTAAAGAGGAGCAATAGCTTGATTCAAACAAGGACTTTAACTTAATGTAAATTCTAGGCATGGCTAATATTGGCTTAGTTTGAAAAACAATTCGAATTAGTTCAACCTAAGTAGATTGTTTTTTTTCAATACGCCAAGCAGTTTACGCAATACATTTGAACAGTCATGTAAACTTCGTGAAGTTTGATGTTATTCATTTAAGAAGATTTCCAAAATTTTATTTGAGTACCTGAAACTTAGGTTTCTTTTTCTTTTTTGAGTTAGATGTTTACCAATTTGTGGCTCACCATAATTACATTTTCAAGAAAAAACTTTATTGCTCTATATTCATTTTTTTAATGGAAACTCCGTAGTTGGATTTGGAGACCGTTTATGTAGCTAAATCCTTTTTAAGAATTCAACTCGTGGGCCTCTCTTCTAATGACCGAAGGCATTATCAGTTACCACTCAACCACATGTTTGGCGGTTTTTGAAGCTAAATCTATTGTTCTCAATATATGGTCTTCGTTTGCATGCCAGTGGACATGAAGTATTGAAATGATGTAGACGTGTAGTTTTTTATTCATTTAATTAGCGCCATGATGTGGAATATGAACACCATGGAAATGGATGTTCGCACAAAAGATTCCAACAAATTTTAACCAAGGAACTCCCATGAAGCTTCTTTTATACTTTCTTCCCCCTTCTCCCACAGGATCAAGACCAAGAAAGCTTACTCATGCGGCTGCATAATCTTTCCGATGCATTGGAATTCCAGCAGAATGAAATAAAGAATGCCAGAGATATATTACGTTCAACAAGAGCTAAACTGGCTGTTATGGAAGGCAAGATAGCAATTGAGGTCATGTATGAAGTTTCGGCCATATCATTGCTATTGTAGATATCATTGTTATTTATTTTATTTAAATTTCTTTGAATTTTCTCTACAGTGAATCTCAAAAAGTTATTGAAGAGAAACAAAAGAGACTGGCTGCTGCTGAATGGTCCCTACGTAATTTGAGCTCTGTTTGCATAATTTGGCCTAACTCTGCCTCTGAAGTTCTTTTGGCTGGGTCATTTGATGGATGGACAAGTCAGGTTTGCTAATTTTCTGATACCTTTTTCATTTCTGTGCTTCTTGTTGGAACTTTAGGAATTTTCCCTTTTGATATCTTCTTTTTCTAGCATGAGGATTTGTGGCTTTCCTAATGTGACGTCTTTCCCCCACTATTTAACTTGTAGCCGAGTTTTAGGAAATTGAAGAGGCATAATTATTTTTCCCCTCCTAAAAACTACATGATATCAGAGCCCATCTTAGCCTTCAAAGCGGCGACCTACTTCCGTCAAGTTCATTCACTGGTTATATTGCTCAGACTCTTGCCCCTCCTTGGTTTTCCCAATACCATCGTCTTCGTGACTGAATGCTTGTGACAGCCTCAATTATAGCTAGCTGGAAAGGTTGGGAAGGCAATGACTTGATTGCACTGTTCTGAGACCCCTTGCGATACAATCATGATTAAAGCTCGCTGGGAAGGCAATTATTGGATCACGACATTCAAAGACCTTTGCGATATTGTTGCAATTAGAACCACTTGGGAAGGCAATGACTGTATCACGACATTTAGACAAGCACATTTAGAGCCAAATGGGAAGGAAACGACTAGATCGCGACATTTCAAGACCCAAAGTTCTTCTTGCTGCCCTCTTTTGCTGACAAAAGCTGCTTCTCAGCACGAGGTTTCTTTCCAGCAGGGGCCTTCTGCGCCGCCTTTGCTTTCTTCTATTTCTTTTTTGTTTTCTTTTTTTTGTTTTTCGGCGACGGGCTCCTTCGCTAGATTTTTCTCAGTCTTCGACGCCATTGGAGTTTGTAGGACTTATTTTTCTTTCCATTTCTCCTCTAGTCAATTCAGAGAAGGTTTTCTTTCTTTCTAGAGAATCGTGAATCAGAGAATCAAACTGAATCAGAAGTAAGCTGATCAAATACTCAATATGTTTCAACCCTTTCATCTTCTTCGCTGGAGCCGCCAACTTTTCCTCTATTTTATAACGTCTAGTTCCAATTTACTCGGGAGAGGAATTGAAGTGTCGAACAGGGATGGGGAGATGAAGCGAGAAGGTTGGGAAACCGAAGAGGGGAGAGATGAAAGGAGAGAGTTGGGAAGCTAAGGAGGTCAGTTCGCCCTATAATACGATGCGAGACAGAGGGAGAATGAGAGGTTGTAGCCAACCCTAACGACTTATAGGGAGAGTCGATTGATATAGACGAAGGAGGAAGGTGTGGCTCAAGACTTCGGTGCTGAAGGAGGAGAGCCTATGCTCTGACCAATCAAAAGAAGAAAGAGAGGCGAGTGCTCTCGAGTGCATGGTTAGAAAGCAGAGACGAAGGAAGAGGAGAAGGGTTGGGTTTGTGCACTCGATGTAGGAGGAAGAGGCAACGTAGACCAGAGTAGCAGGAGTCGATCAGAGAAGTTGGAATAGAGCGCGGGATTTTTCTCGTGGTTGAGTCATCGCGTGCTAAGCAGTGAATTGAGTAGGAGCCGATCACAGGAGAAGCTGACCGAATACATAAAGGTGAATTAGAGTTTTTTCATATAAATTAATAAATTTAATGTGTATGGTTTATAAAGGTTAGTTTTTATAATTTTAATTAAAATATTTAATGCTATATAACATATACATATATATATATACATATACATATATATATATATATAGGATTTCATAAGGTAAAATAATGAAAAATAATGTAAATTTAATAACTATATAAAATTATAGTTAAAGTTTTGTAATATGAATATACATATTTATTTTAGACTTTCAATTTTAGAAGAGTCGACGTCAAAACAAATTGAATAACAAATTAATCAACATCGAGTCAAGTACTTATGTTTTTATACTATAGTAATATTTTGTTTCTTTCAGATTAAATGCATTTACTAGTATTATCATTAATTATATTAAAATTACTATAAACATGAAATTTTGAATTCTAGTGAATTTTTTTCATATTGTAGGAATGATATTTGTGCACATAGTTATTTAAATAATCATAAATATTGAATAATTTATAAGCATATTGAATATCATGCAAATGAGAATGAAATATTTATTGTTATAAAGATATTTTTATTATATATTTGTATGTGCATAATTGACTATAGTAGTGTCACTCATTTATGGTATTAGTGTGAGAACGCTATGGTACTCATGTACGTAAATGGAAAAAAATATATTAATATTAATTTATCTTAAGTGATACAATTTTTAGACGGTGCTCCTGTGACAGTTGTACATATATGAAATGATATAAATATTTTATTAATATTGCAAGACTCTTTCAATAACACTTTATACTTAAGATATCCAAATATTTTTTATTGATTTATTAAAATACTTAACTAACATGCTTATTGTTTTTCTTTTCATTGTATTATTGTAGTTTAGAATTATGAGTATTCAGTGGTTTGTTTAGCTCACTGTTATTTTATATTAATTGTTCGAGTTAATTTAGTTGATTGGAAAATGAGCGATAGAAAGAAGAATATTTATAGAAAATTTGAACAGCCAGTGATGAGGTAAATTTAAATAAACTGCTTTAATTTAATTTGGTTAGTGACTCTTTCATTTGTTAAATGACAAATGAATGCAGAAAAATTAATTCTCATCCAATCGTCCGTATCTTTCTTGGTTATTTTGAAGCCCCGGGCTATGTCGCAATAAGAGCACAGGGTTTACGATTAATTAAAATAGTCTTGATGACAGAGCCAATAAGGTAATTATAATAAAATTTTAATAATAAAAAAATTATGTTAACTCAAATTAATAAGTATATCGAGCACGAGATTTTTCTCGCACTTGAGTCATCATGTGCTGAGCGATGAATTGAGTAGGAGCCAATCGCAGGAGAAGCCAACCGAGCACTTAAAGGTGAATTAGAGTTTATTCATATAAATTAGTAAATTTAATTTGTACGGTCATAAATATGAGCTTTCATCCGATGTATGAGGATAATATTTCCTGATTAATATGGAGAGAGAAGCTTGTCCCCATCGGAGTCGCCATAAGATGTCAGCATTATTTTTGGTTGTGGAGTTGCTCGTTGGAAGCTTTCGGTCGCCGGAATTGAAGTCTTGTCACTCAATTCTATATATATATGTATATGTATATATATATATATGTTTATGTATATGTATATGTAGATGTATATATGTATGTATATATGTATATGTATATGTATATATATATATATATATATGTATATGTGTATATGTATATGTATATGTATATGTATATATGTACAAACATATATACATATACAAACATACAAAATTTTGATTAATATTTTTAATATCATACATACAAACATATATACATATATACATATACATATACATATACATATACATATATACATATACATATATATATATACATATACATATATATATATATATAGGATTTCATAAAGTAATGAAAAATAATGTAAATTTAATAGTTAATTAAAATTATAATTAATTAAAGTTTTGTAATATGATTATCTATATTTATTTTAGGCTTCTAATTTTAAAAGAGCCGATGTTAAGGCAAATCAAATAGTAGATTCATCAACATTGATGTGAGTATTCATGTTCTTATAGTATGGTAATATTTTACTTCTACATCAAACACATGTAATAGTACTATTATTAGTTATATTGAAATTACTGTAAACTCGGGATTTTAAATTTCAATAAATCTTTATTGATATTGTAGGAATGATATTTGTGCACAATATCATTTAAATTATCTTAAATATTGAATGGCTTATAATTATTTTGACTATAATGTATAGGTGAATGAAATATTTATTATTAGAAAATGATATTTTTATTTTATGTTTGTATGAGTATGATTGAGTGATGAAGTCACCCCTTTATGGTATTAATGGGAGAAAAATAAACGGCTCGTGCACATAAGTGAAAAAAATATTAATATTGAAGCATCTTAAGTGGTATAATTTTTAGTTGGTGCTTCTGTACAGGTTATATATATATAGAATGATACAAATATTTTATTGATTTGCAAGGTTCATTGAATAACATATTCTTAAGATATCCAAATATTTTTTATTGATTTATATTAAATGTTTAACTGACATTCATATTGTTTTTCATTTCTCTTATATTGCTATCGTTTAGGAATATGAGTATTCACTGATTTATTTAGCTTACTGTTATTTTAAAATTAATTTTTTACGTTAATTTAATTGATTAAAAGATTAACGATAGAATGAAAAATATTTATAGAATAATGAGATAAATTTAAATATACTATTTTAACTTAATTTGATTAGTAGGACTTTCATTTGTTTACCATGTTAAATGATTTCTGTTACCGCATTAATTAATTCCAAGCCCCAGGTTGGGTTGTGACATACTTAGCTTAATGAGCCGAAAGAACTCGTGGTCGAAATTGGCTCAGATTTTTCAGTGTTGTCCTCCTACCCTTTAATGATGTCGTACAAGTCGGCGATGATTGACTCTCAAAGAAATTCTTCCGTTTCTATTCGTTTCGACTATTACAAAACTAACTCGCCCTACCCATGGTGGTGCAAATATTGAAAAAATCATGGTATATGAAGGAGACATATTGGAAGCTTCTTGATAAACCTGCAAATTGGAAATTAAAATCTAAACGTGAAGGCCGAACTTATCAAACCACTGCTGATGAAACTTAAGAGCCTTCTATCAACTTGGATACAATATCTTTTATCAAGTAACAATTAGAGCTGCACAAATTATTTAAATCTCCAAAATTGTTATCAACTTTGTCTTGCTCTTCTCTATAGAAGGGTAACTCTTTAGCCACTTTATTATTAAGTGTTAACCCCCATTTTATTCACTTGAGGAATTGATTCTGATACAACCGATCATATGATTAGTTATTCTAAATTATTCTCATTTTATATACTTTGTCCAGGTAATAAAAGAGTCAAAATTGTGTGATGGTTCCCTCTTGATAATTGCTGGGATAAGAACTGTCAAACTCGCCTCGTTAACTCTTCGTGATGTGCTCCATGTTTTCAGTTTATCTTGGCATCTATTGTTCATTATAAAAAA